TCCAGGCTTCCTGAATATGCAGCTCTCATGATGAAAATTGAAACAGAGATTAGTAAAAGGTTAACACCATACCAGGAGGCTACATTACAATTTTTAACATCAGAAGTATCACGAACCACTTCCCTGTTGATACAGCGCGATATGAGCCCAAATAGATTTCACAATAAGGTTCATTATAAATTAATAAGTAAAGAATCCCGATTGATGAAATTGTCATGTAAATTAGGTTTAGCCTCAGACATTCTTTATCTTGTCATGTACTTTTACAGAACATATAGATATGAAGGGTCGCTCAATTGTTTACAGATAGCACAGGAAAGAATGAAAAAGCCATATATTATGTACAAAAGTCATGTAAATGTAGATGTGTACTCACGTAGCACAGTGGAGCTGTCATTGTGTCACAAAATGAGGATTTCTTTAGTAGAAGATATAAGTTTAACCAATCTGTACACATACATTGATGAATTGATTCTAGAGCAGAAAATAGGTGGAAAGAATGGCTGGCATACATTGAACATCCCACCTTTAGTGATGTTACACATGCTGTTTATACTGAATCATCACAGACTGGGTGACACAGTCAGGTCACAACAATCTCTACAGGATCTACAGACTCTGCTGCTCTATGATGACGGGGTTTATGTACCAATTCACCTCAGAGATATTTCGTGGCAAATCCTAGGAATCTGTCAACAAATCTATGGGGACTTCCCGGGAGCTCTAGAATCTTATCAACGTTCGTTACAACAAGATCCATTTAACAAAATTGAGGAAGCAACACTGTTTAGAATTAATACACTTTCCTAATGATTGATGTAAAACAATCTATGTAGCTGATATCTAAGTATCACCTCGCCAGTTTTGACAAGCTTATTCATAGTTAGTGCAGGATTTTTTGTAATATTCAGGAAATTAATTTTAATACCCTTAGTTTTCAATTGTGCATTTTTATTGCTCATATCTTTCTGTGTTCAATTTATCATTTTATTTTCAATTTGTAGTATTTTTCTTGTGTAAATCTGTGACGTGTCTAATGTTTCTAAGATTCAGAAATAGTGTTGTTTGATGGTAAACATTAGCAATGTTGATGGTAAGAAAATATATGTTTAACTCCGCCCAAATTATCTGTTATAATGTGAAGCATTAAACAAATTATCAATATTTTCTATTCAATTCCACGTCATATAAGATTGAAAAATATTTTTCGGATTATTTTGATTCCAGTATTTGTGAGTGGAATGAACATAAAATAAGATAGACATGTTTAACCTATCTTTTGTCGATCTGTTTTCCATGCATGTTACCCCATAAACAGGTTGTAGATAAAATAAAAGAAAATTATAACCTTAAGCTTCCTATCTCTGTGAAATTATTTCGAATACAGTATCTACTAAATAATAACTGTTTAATTAAAGATTTTTTTTTTCTTCAAAGGAATTCAGAAGAGCCCTGATATACTTATTTTTTTCTACACAAACTTGTTGTATTTTGATCATTCTGATGTCGACTATTGCCTAGTTTTGAAAAATACCTAAAATTAATAATTTACTGGTTTTTTCATAAAAAAATGTTTTAGAAGTCCCAGCCTGATGCTATAGATTTCAGTTAAGGTTAAGAAAATTTAAATTTGAATATCGATTTTCTGATATATCAATAATATTAGCGGCACAATGAAAATAATCTGAAGTTTGAAGAGCTATGTATTTTTAAAGAAATTATTTTAATGTTAGATCATGATATAAAGAGATTGAACACAGAGTATAGAAATAGTAATGGTTTATTGCAACATCAGCAAATTTAAAATATGAGGTGCATATAAAAATAATACTTAGTATCATACCTATTAGAATCATATCAGAAAACATCATGAAGTGATGCTTCCTAAGTCAGATATTCACAATATTGTATGTGGTTATAAGAAAAAATAAATCTGTGAGGAGGAGATATCTTTCTTTTAAATATATCTTCATGTGAAAAAAAGGCAAACTTATAAAAATTCTGTACTTTATCATTGAACCATTATTTTTAGAATGATACAACTTATTCAATTTATATTGCTTTTTAAGTTGGATTTAAAAATGTTTTATTGTAAAACATAATAAAACAATTACTAAGAAATTTGCAAAAGAAATAGAAAGCAATGTTTCCATCATATGTTAGATTTCAATATAACAACTCAGATGTCTCAATCAGGAAACTCTGATTTAGAAAACTTTGAATAGTATTAATATTTTGTACTACCTTGATAGTTATCTGTCTTATCAGAGGAGGGTCAGTAGCCCTAAAATGTTATAAAATCCTAAAATATATGTTACGATTTAAAGCAACTACTCTCAACATTTATATTATCTTTCAATAGGTTATTGTATTGGGGGAAAATAACTCGCGGTGTTAATATTTGCTATATTCAGGGTGATAATAAATCCGTGAATTCAAGAAACAGTGAATGATTTTTCAATAATACCCATGTTTTATTTGGAAATATGAAAACAGACTAAGACAGGTTTAAATACATTTACATGTACCACAGTACATCGTCATTTCAGTAATTATGAGTAGTACTTGTCAGTCAATTATTTTAATTAAAACGCTTTACATTAATTCAAGTAAACGGATAATAACCTACATTAGTTAAAGGTTTTTTTTACTGCCAACGCAACACGTCCCATCAATCAAAACACGTGGGACATGAGCTTGATTATCCCTGCGTAACTAATGTTAACTCGTGCGGTGTGTGCATTACCTGCATTATCATACATATTATAGTTTTTATCGACATTTTGATTTTGAAAATCATTCAAATGACTATCGAACTTACTGAAGATTTGGAAGGATATTATTTTGTCGACCTACACTAACACATTTATTATCGTCCAGTGGTTTTTCGCCGCTATGTATTGAAAATCTTGGGGTGTACATGCACTCATGGTAATAGAATATAGAAAAATCATTTGACGTTTATAGTCAAGGACTTTTGATAACTGCACCTGTTTTAATTAATTATTTAATAATCAATTATCTATTTAGTCTAACTATTTTATATTTACCTACCCTGTTGTTCATGAAATAAAGACATAACTATGATGAATGTCGTTTACATGTACCAATGGATTAAACAGATATAGACAAGGGAGGTAACTTCTTTAACTTAAGAATTCTGTGAATTCAAGAAACTGCAATCGTGTCCGATGAGAGAAAACCGTAAAAATTACAACCCGTGAAATTTATCCCCTATACAGTATATGAGTTCTGTTGGAAGGGGATACCAAGTTTATAACTTTGTCAAACATGCATTAAAACATTTCCTTATTGAAACTTTAAAGCAGAACATTGAAAGTCAATGCATGGGAGAGTAATGTCACAAGTAGCAGTGTCATAAAAATAAGATCATGAAATTCTATGAAAATTAATATATAAAAATCCTTCAGGTGTTGAAACTGTTCGAACAGTTTATCAATAAAAGCCCAATTTTACTGTGTCCTCAAATGAGTATTGGTTAAAAATTTAGAATATACAAAGGTCACAGTGATATTAAAAAATTAGTCAATTTTCTCCTTTATATGCAATGTTTCAACGATTTTACATCACATTTTGTTTCGAAAAAAAAAACACAGAAGCTTGTCTATCTACCAAATATACTGAAAGGAAAAAGAAACGCAGGGTAAACTTTTGATTTGAATTAAATTTGTTTTTCTTAAAATACTTTTTAGTTTTCCTATCTAACTTTTAAAATCATCTTTCAAAAAGATATAACCAAATTCTCATATGATTTAGTGAAATTATTCATGACTTACTAAAGCTCAAATGACGATACCCCCCAAAAGGGAAAATCGAAAACTCTCATTATCTTCAATGTCCATCTTATGCATCTGTCAGAGTCTTATTTCTCTTTTGCATGGAATTTCATCAGAATGTTTATCTTTCAAACCCTGGCTATATTTAGCATGGGTAACCACGCAAAAAAAAAATAAGTCAAACGGCGCGCGCATGCGCCAGTGAGGGGAATACAACAGTAAGTTGATTGGCTCAAAATACCAAATAGCGGAATTGTTTTCTTTCAAATTGCGTATGAATGTAATGATTATAATCGTGTACACTATAAATGACTATTTTTGTGGAAGTAAGGTGGCAATTTTAGGGATAGCAGAACGAATAACCCGCTCGTAACATGGCTCTGTTTCGCGTTAACGTCATCGTCACGGTTGACTGAAATCCACTCAAGACCCTCTCTGACAACGGCTAAAAAGTTTTATGGGGGAAAATTTACAAGAGCTTGCTTAGTAAACCGTTGTTGCCTTTTTCATTAATTCAGCAATTCGAAAACAAGACCCCATTGAACTTCCGTAAACTGTGCCGAGATCGCAATAAATTCATAATGTCTCTTAATATTGAAAAACGATGTGCATACCTCATATGCATCAAATAATGCAACAATATTTGTGGACAAACACGTCGTATCAAATTGCACGTGTTTTAGGCTTTTTAGCGTATTCCCTACGTGACGTCATAAATTTTACGGTTGAGTAATTCTGAATACTGATTTTGATACACAGTAACTAAATTTGCCATTTGACCAATGTTCGTAATTTTCGGTCATGTGGTCAAATTTTTATGGACAATTATGCTACCCTGCGTTTCTTTTTCCTTTCAGTATATATGCATTCGTATACTCTAATATCAGATGCACTTTATATTCTGCCTGGTACAGGCAGATAGCTAACCAATGTACTCACAGTAGGCATTGTAAATACATTAAGTCAAAGTCACACGAAATAACAAGTTTATTATCCTCTGGTGTGTGGGTCATGTAAATACAGCACAGGTATGCCTGAGTGAGTGTGAGCAAACGTATGCGTATGATGGTAAAAAACGACAAAAAATACAAACAAAAGCTTACAAATAATGTACCAAAAGTTGTAAAACAGAGATAGTACAATGTATTAAACACAAAAAAGGCATTACAAATCAAGTGACCAAAATGACTTTCCATACTTAAGAGAATGATTTGACCTTCAGAAAAAACTTTATCTACATGGGAAACTTTAGAAAATACATTCAAATTATGTGAAAATATAGCTCAAAAATAACATAAAAAGACTTACATAGTGGATTTAGGCACTCAAAATGTAGGATGCATGGTGATTTACACAAAAAATAACAGCCACACTGGGGCTGGTCAAGCAGGTCAACAGGAAGTGAGTAAAATGTAGTTAACTCATACCAAAAATAGTAACAGAATCATAAAAGTTAAGTCATACCAAGGATCAGTTTACCATGTAAGTTTCCAACAATAATAATAATACATATGATAGGCAACACACTCCCCGTCTGATATGAAATATCACTCAAATAAACATGATGCATATGCATGAAACAAATTACATATATTCTAATTTAGAGAGTCTTAGTCCAATTGTCAGAAAGTTTACACTTTTACAAATCACAACGCATGGCACAAAAACACAATTTCTGAGATAGGGCGAACATAGGTACGCGGTTGTCCATCTTTCACGATGCGAACTTCCAGTTTGCGCACAAGTCCATCTTCACTAGGAAATACGCGTTCCACCAGTCCAGTCGGCCAGTGGTTGCGCGGTGCCTCACTGTCCTTCAAGAGAATAATGTCTCCAACACGAATGTTCTTTAGAGTATGCTTCCATTTTCTGCGCACTTGAAGACTCTGCAGGTACTCGCTCTTCCATCGGTGCCAAAATGTCTCAGCTAGGCATTGAACGAATTTCCACTGCGAAGTATAAATTTCACGAACAGATAGATGTTTGAAATCCTCTGTAGAATCAGTGGTTTTTTTGTGTAAGCAAAACAGCTGGAGACAAAATGCAAGGTGCCTCTGGGTCTGTAGATAGGGGTACCAATGGTCGCGCGTTGACTATTGCTGTTGTCTCGGCCATAAATGTGCATAGGACTTCATGAGTAAGTTTGGTGTGCTTTGCATCCAGTAGAATGGAATCAATGATCCGTCTGATAACACCAATTAAGCGCTCCCAAGCGCCTCCCATATGAGAGGAAAAAGGTTTGTTGAACTTCCAAATTGCTCCTTGTTCTTTAAGGAATGATTTCACTGCGAGGTTTTCCACGAAAATTGCACCAATTCCAAGTTCTCTGGTTCCACCAACGAAATTGGTCCCTCTGTCCGAATACAATTCTTTCACTTTGCCTCTGATTGATGTGAAGCGACGCAAGGCGTTGATAAAGGAAGAAGTGCTCATTTCTTCGATAACTTCTATGTGAATACCACGACATGATAAACATGTGAACAACACAGCCCAGCGTTTGGAATTCGCAGAACCACCACGGGTACGTCGGGTGACAACACTCCACGGTCCGAAGCAGTAAACGCCAACATAAGTAAATGGTGGACAAGACATCAGTCTCTCCTCAGGTAAGTCTGCCATCTTTTGGTAAACAAAGTTGCCACGAAGTCTTTGACATTTTACACAAGCAGATAAGATGGTATATATCAGTCGTTTGCAGCCCGGTATCCAGTATCCAGCAGCTCGGATAGCTCCAGCGGTCAGATGACGTCCTTGATGATGAATAATTTCATGATAATGAAGCACTAGAAGTTTCGCAATATAGTGTTGATTAGGGATGAGAATTGGGTTCTTCTCTCCTAGTGAAAGTTCTGAACTTCGCTTAAGCCTTCCGCCAACACGCAAAACTCCTGACGAATCGAGGAAAGGGTCTAACCTTGACACTCTGCTATTTCTTGGTAAAGGTTTACCACTCTTTAGGTTCTCGATTTCTCTACTGTACGATTCTTGCTGAACCAGTTGAATGATGACATTTTCTGATTCTTTGTGTAATTTTGGTTCTTCTATGGCTTCAGAGTTCAGTCTTGCTTTATTTCCAAGGAAACGTCTCAGTGTCGAAATAGCTTTCACAAGACTGTTCCAGGTGGAATTTTTACAAAAACGATTAGACACCAAAGTCTCAGTTGAAATTCGAGTTTTGCTTGAAACAACTTCTTGACGAATTTCTTTGTCACTTTCCGGCTCGATGAGGGGATAATCGGTCTTAGTTTCATCAGGGACAATTTTCAGCCATTGAGGTCCAGCTATCCAGTTTTGCAGAGATGTGGTCAATGCAGTATGTGAATATCTTGTTGCTATGTCTGCTGGGTTTTTATCTGTTGAGACATAGGACCACTGAGCTGGAGATGAGACTTTGTGGATTTTTTCTACACGGTTGTAAACATACACAAAAAATCTACGGGTGTTATTGCATATGTACCCTAAGATAATTCTGCTGTCAGTATAGTAATGGAATTGATCTTGTGGAATGTTCAAATGATCACACACTGCTTCTCCGACCTCTGTGGCCAAGACGGCGGCACATAATTCCAGTCTTGGTATGGTGTGTCCTTTTAGGGGTGCTAGTTTTGATTTTCCCATAAGGAATCCAATAGAAACTTCTCCTGATCTGTCAATGACTCGGAGATATGCTACTGCAGCAACTGCATGTTCTGATGCATCGGAAAATACATGAACATCCAAGCAATGTGCTTGAGATACTGAAGTAGATACGATCATTCTAGGAACTCTGTAGTCGTTGATAGAGTGTAAAGAATCAAGCCACGTTTGCCATTTTTTCACGTGATCCTCTGAGAGCGGTTCATCCCAGTCGCATCCAGAAGGTACAAGTTCACGATGCAGAATTTTTCCACTGATGGTTACAGGAGAAATAAATCCAACAGGATCAAACACACTGTTCAGTGTAGACAAAAGACCTCTTCGGGTACATGGTTTCTCTGTATTAGAGATTTTGAACACAAACATATCACTGTTCAAGTCCCACAACATTCCTAAACTGTGTTGAACAGGTAAGTTGCACATATCAGTACTATGATTCAGTTCTTTGAGGTCACTTCCGAGGTCATCCGAAGGGAATGATTTCATCACATTCACACTGTTTGAGATGATTTTATGAAGACGAATATTTCCGTTTTCTTTAAGTGTTGCTTGTGTTTTCTTCATCAGTGTCACTGCTTCAGCTTCAGTGGGAAGGGAGGTAAGCCCGTCATCGACGTAAAAGTTGTCGTAAACAAATTTACGAACATCGCTGTCACCACTATCTGATGCTTTATGAAGTCCGTAAGTTGCCACAGCTGGAGACGGTGTATTTCCGAAAACGTGGGCTTTCATACGATATTGTATCAGAGGTTTTTGAAAGTCATTATCTGCATACCAGAAGAATCTGAGATAATCACGGTGTTTTACGTGAACACGGAATGCATAAAACATTTGCTGAATGTCACCACTGATCGCTATTGCATTTTCACGAAAACGCATGAGGATTCCCACAAGGTTGTTTGTCAAGTCTGGTCCAGACATCAACACACTGTTCAACGAAATGTTTTTGTACACAGCAGATGAGTCAAAAACTCCTCGGATTTGATCCGGCTTTTTAGAATTGTACACCCCAAAAAGAGGTAAATACCAGCATTCCCCGGGTATGTCGGATGGAGCAACTTCAGCTGCCCCGCTTGCTAAGACTTTTGACATGAATGCTAAAAAGTGTTCTTTTTTGTGAGAATCTCTCTGTAGACTTGTGTTGAGGATCAGAGCACGTTTCCAGGCCTGTGAATAATTGTTTGGCATCTCCGGTTTAGAATCCTTAAAGGGGAGAGGTGCAGACCAGTAACCATCAGAATCCTTGCGAAACTCTTCATCCATGAGAGTGAGAAATTTACGGTCCTCAACAGATTGTCCAATCTTGTTGTCAAATGGTGTCCTTACGAATAAGCTGTCATCATTGTCCTTGACACTGATGTTATTCTGATACAATGGGAAAGTAGTACACCGTCCATCATTGAGAATATGTGTTTTGTTTACATTCACTTCCTTTGGGCGATGAACCTTACCAATACAAACTTCACCAATGATAACCCATCCTAATGATAAGAGTTGGGCAAAAGGTTGACCTTTGTTACCAGTTATTTGATCACGCACATGATGTACATCAGGTAAGTCACGTCCAATAAGGAGCTCAACATTAACTGTGCGATCAAAGGGAGGTAAATAGGATGCAATGCGTTGCAGATGCGGAAATGAATCAGCTACATCTGAAGTAAGTATTTCAAGGGAATCACTTGGAATTGAATCACATTCAATGACTTCAGGTAAGTCAAATGATGTTGATCCATCTACGGATTTCACACACAATCCATTAACACAGCGTCCATTGAATGTAGACACACCTGAGCATGAGGTAAGTGTGTAGGACTTACAGTTTCCTGAAATACCAAGTTGCTCGATCAAGTTAGGGGACACTAAAGTACGGTTACTTTGGTCATCAATTGTAGCATAAGCACGGATTGTTTTCTCTGGGTTAAAAGTTGAAAACACTTCCACCAGAACTATTTTCCCACATGAACGTCCGCCAGCAGAATTTCCACACAGCTGAGTACAACAAGCGTTCACAGTTTCACCACTATCATTTTCTGTAGTTGACTCCCCGCCATTGTCCAAAGTAGTTTTGACTGCAGTTACGGCTGTGTGTGACGGAGGTTTTTGGGTATGACGATCAATATGCATCGCAGTGACATGACGAGAATTACCACATATCTCACATTTAATGTCAGCTGTACAGTTTTTAGACATATGACTCTGCGAAGCACAACACCGGAAACACAAGTTTTTTAGCTCTACTGGTCAGAGACCAGAAGAGCTTATGCGATAGTAAGGTGTCCGTCGTCCGTCCGTCTGTCTGTCTGTCTGTCTGTCTGTCTGTCCGTCTGTCTGTAAACAATTTTTAAAACGCTACTCCTCCTACAGTTTTGGTCTGATTTCAATATAACTTGGCACACAAGTAGACTACACTAAGATACATAAAATAGTGCATCGGTTTTTGATTTCGATAAACAGTGTTGCCATGGTTACTAAAAATAGAATTTTCTGTGAAATTCCTTTAAAACGCTACTTCTCCTACAGTTTTGGTCTGATTTCAATATTACTTAACACACAAGTAGACTACACTTAGATACATAAAATAGTGCCTCGGTTTTTGATTTCGATGAACGGTATTTCCATGGTAACTAAAAATAGAATTTTCTTTGAAATTCCTTTAAAACGCTACTCCTCCTACAGTTTTGATTTGATTTCAATATTACTTGGCACACAAGTCGACTACACTAAGATACATAAAACAGTGCCTCGGTTTTTGATTTCGATGAACGGTATTGCCATGGTTACTTAAAATAGAATTTTCTTTGAAATTCCTTTAAAATGCTTCTCCTTCTACAGTTTTGGTCTGATTTCAATATTACGTAACACAGTAGACTACACTAAGATACATAAAATAGTGCATTGGATTTTAATTTCGATGAACGATGTTGCCATGGTTACTAAAAATAGAATTTTCTTTGAAATTCCTTTAAAACGCTAGTCATCCTACAGTTTTGGTCTGATGGCAATGGCTTCTTTTCTCATCCTTTGTTATAAGTACAAACCAGTAGAGCTACAGTCTCGACAGAGACTTCTGGTCTCACGTAGAATCCTTTGACGCTCTTGTAGTGATTTTCTTTTGAAGCCACGACATTCATTCAATGTATGTCCAGCATTGTGTATGGGGCAACGAGTTGGCGGTGTAGGTGTGGAAATGTCCGCTTTACGTGATGTGACATTGCTTATAGGTCTAGGTTTGCTGTGTGTGACCTGTGGGTTTGTAGACTGTTGATAAATAAGTCCTGGGTCATTACGCATGTCACACATGTCACGGATGAAATTGACAAAGAATGAAAATGGGGGAAATGGTACATAGTTCCGTTTCTTATAACCGGAAGCCTGAGTAGTCCACTTGTCTTGTAGAGATGCTGGTAGCTTGCTAACGATTGGTAGAACTCCAGTGGAAGAGTTGAAGTAGCTTAACAGAAGGCTGTACTGGGGATCCGCCATAGCGCACTCAATTTCTGTCAGAATGTCAACTAGATCGTATAATTTGCCATGATCTTTATTAGTGAGGTTCGGAAACAAGTGAACTTTCTTTTTCAGAGCGTGTTCCACCATTTCTGGCCTCCCATATCTATCGTGTAGTCTATCCCAGATGCGTTTCAGTCCTAGACTGGGGTCGTGGGTATTTGCGGAGCGTAGTGTCCGTGCAAACTTTGACGATTCTGGACCAAGCCACTTCACGAGCAAATCCATTTCCTCGAATGGTGTGACTCCAAGTTCTGTTGTTAAGCTGCGGAATGAGGATGTCCATGAGTTGAAACTCTCCGGTCGATCGTCGAAGTTGGTGAATCTAGTGAGGAGAAAATCCTTCCGTAACAGAAACTTGGAAAAGTCCGTTATGGCTGATGTATTAGACATTTGAGGCGCAGGAGTTGGAGGCATAAAGACTGGTGGCGGTGGATTTGGTGGCGCTGGATTTGACGGAATGAACATTTGCGGCACAGAATTAGGTGGTCCATACAAAGCTGATGGTTGCGGCACAGAATTAGGTGGTCCATACAAAGCTGATGGTTGCGGCACAGAATTAGGTGGGCCATACAAGGCTGAGAGTTCCTGCACAGATTTTGGAGGAACATGCATAGATGAGGGTTGCAATGCAGGAGGTTGGTAGGTACTCACAGGATTGTACACACTAATTGGTGGGTGAGGCACTGTGTTTGATAAGTTCTGGGGAGTGTGGTTAATTATATAATCACTAGTTAATTGTTCTTTGGTAGACACTGGAACATCTAATGAAAGATCTGATTTTTCGTTGTCTGATAAATCTGCTTCTGCTTCTATAATTTCTTTCTCTTGTTGAACTATATTTATTTTTGTTTCGATGTCAGTCTTTTGTTTCTTTAGCTCAGCTTCCTTTTTGATTAGTTCAAGTTTGGCCTTTTCTCTTTGTATTTTTTCTCTCTGGAAACTACTTGAATTTGATACATGGGATAATGTTTCTAGTAAATCAAACTTTGTGCTCTCCAGTTCATTACTTGTTTTCCTGACTATTGCGAAACACTTATTCTCAAAACGATCAAAAGTTTTCAACATATCGCTAGCTTCACCTGTGTTTTGACGATTAAGGTACTTTTTGTAGTCTTCTGATACAATGCAGAATTCCTTAAATTTTACATTGAGAGAATGTTCTACTTCTCTTACTTTCTTAAAGTCATTTTCACACAATCCTGATTTTACTAAGACATCTTCTACCTCGTTACAGGCTTTGTCCACTTTCTTCTTCAGAATTCTGCATTGTTCCTCAACCATGGTTTGTCCTTTTTCTGTTAATGTCCTTATACGTTTCTCAGGGGCTTCAGCCATGTGCCAGATACGAAGTCCACTATTTTTTTACTATTCTGCCTGGTACAGGCAGATAGCTAACCAAATCTACTCGCAGTAGGCATTGTAGACACATGAAGTCAAAGTCACACGAAATAACAAGTTTATTATCCTCTGGTGTGTGGGTCATGTAAATACAGCACAGGTATGCCTGAGTGAGTGTGAGCAAACGTATGCGTATGATGTATGATGGTAAAAAACTACAAAAAAATACAAACAAAAGCTTACAAATAATGTACCAGAAGTTGTAAAACAGAGATAGTACAATGTATTTAAACACAAAAAAGGTATTACAAATTAAGTGACCAAAATGGCTTTCCATACTTAAGAAAATGATTTGACCTTTCAGAAAAAACTTTATCTACATGGGAAACTTTAGAAAATACATTCAAATAATTTGAAAATATAGCTCAAAAATAACATAAAAAGACTTACATAGTGGATTTAGGCACTCAAAATATAGGATGCATGGTGATTTACACAAAAAATAACAGCCACACTGGGACTGGTCAAGCAGGTAAACAGGAAGTGAGTAAAAGGTAGTTAACTCATACCAAAAATAGTAACAGAATCATAAAAGTTAAGTCATACCAAGGATCAGTTTACCATGTAAGTTTTCAACAATAATAATAATACATATGATAGGCAACACAATCAGAATACAAGATTTTGCACCATTACAAAGAAGTTGTCATTGTATTTGATAAAAATAATCATGATTATTATCAGGAAAGTATTTCCCTTCCTGGTTTGTTTCCAAATATGGCAGTGTTGTAGATGGAATGTTCTTGTCTCTAGAAACATATGGACATTTCACCTCTACGAATTCCTCTTCATCACAGGAGACAACAGAATAATTTTCCTCAGATAATGAGAACTACATGTAAGGAGAAATGTAAAGAAAAGCAAGAACAATTATGAAAGCTAATGTTAACAGTATGATCTAAAAATGAATATGATTAAATAAAAACATGAACAGTGAAACTGAAAACAAATAAATAGAATCTTACCTTTTCATTTAGAATAATTTATTTTGTAAGTATACCATAATGAATTTGTTGATAAAATACTTTTTTAACATACAATCATCTCTCGGGCTATTTTATCCCATTCCCAGGTTAAAAACAATAAACACAGTAATTTTTCAGTAAATTTCAGCATCGAAAGCACAGTATTTATCAGACTCAACAGCAAAGACGACAGATATTATCGGTATTTATCAGAAACGAATAAAATTATCAGCAACAACAGTAATAACAGTAATTATCAGCAAGAACAGCACCCTATAAGTAATAATCAAACATCAGTAAAATTTGGGATTCTCAGCATTTTTTTTTTCTTCCAATAGAGTAACGACCGATTGACGAAGAACGACGTACGACGACGGACGAAAACAGAAATAGGTCACCTGAGTGACTTTGCAGAATTTTCTGTTCCTCGGGACCATTGGGGCAGGCCAGCAGTTTCGGTTCGACATCAGCTACTGATGGGTCTTTGGTATTTTGGCTCACTTAGACACTGCCCATAATATAACGGACAGGTTTAGTGTTCTGTTCTTTGCTCCAGAATAAAATTGCTGAAACCTTACAAAACTCTCAAAAGAAAATTCATAGTTTGCCCAGATTCAAACGTCAGACAGAAAATAAGTGATCATTTTGAAATGCGTAATGGGCTTCCTGGAATAGTTGGGTGACACTTACATTAGAATATAATCCAAGGTTATACACTAATGGTAAGTGATACCATTCCTTTCAACTACAAGCTACATTTATGACAGAGTTATGACCTTTAGGACTTGGACTTGATCATTCCAATTTGAGGAAAGGGGGTCAAATGTGTATTACAAACCTCTCTTGTTTGGAATTTAGATCTTATGTCAGATCACACTAACTGTAGAAAAATACCATGGAATCGGAGCTCTTAAGTGTGCAGTGTAGGGAGGGTTCTTAATGCATTAAGGCCTATGATTATTCTTTTTTTACAGCCATGAATCTATTTGTGAGTAAATTCGATATTTAAAATGTCCAATTATTGAATTCCTTAAATTTATTTATTTTGCTTTTAAGACAGCCTGAAATAAAAATGATTCAAATATTTCTTCTTTGAATATCCTGACGTCCTTACCTTGCATGGGTACTTTTTAAGTGTGAAAGGATCGATATTTAATTGCTAATTTTGTTTGTGGCCGATTTGATGCTTTTTTTAAATTAACTTGTTTTATCTTGTTTTATTTCCATTTTTTTTTAATTTTGATAATAAAAGACATTTTTTAGAAACTAATACGTATTTGGTAATTGCAATCATTTGTTGATGTTATGTACATCTATTGCGACTTATAAAAGATCTAGTTAGATGAAATAAATCCTTTTTAGCTCACCTAAGCCGGAAGCTCAAGTCAGCTTTTCTGTATTTTTTCCGTCTGTCCGTAAACTTCTCACATTTTCGACTTATTCTCATGAACCAATGGGCCAATTTTAACCAAACTAATACAAGGCATCCTTTGGTAAAGGGAAGATATAATTGTTAAAATAAAGGGCCAAATCCCATGACAATTGGAGGTTAACAAAAAAAGAAAAAAATAGGGTGGGGTCACAAGAAAATCTTCTTTTCAATAACCACTGGGTCAAGAAAGCTGAAACTTATGAGGAAGCATCTTTGCGTAGTGTAAAGATAAAATTGTATAAATCATGACCTCCGGGGGTACGGCGAAGCCACAACAGGAAACCCAAATTTTACATACAAATACATAGAACAAATATTCAACTCTTCTTCTTAGGAACCCCTGGGCCAGGAAGGCTGAAACTTATGTGGAAGCATCCTCAGGTAGTGTAGATATTAAATAGTTAAAATATGACCCCCTCCTCGTTGGTATGGCGGGACCACAAGAAGGAATTCCAGGTTTTACAAAGAAAGATAAAGAACAAATCTTAAGGGCGTGGCCACGATAGGGAATCCAAGCTTTACATAGATATATTCGGGAAAATCATTGACGAATCTTCTTCTCAAAAACCACTGGCACAGGAAATGCTGAAACTAATATGGAATCATCATTCTAAAGAGGTGTAATGGTAACGGACCACTAGTCCGAAGGTTCACTAGTCAGAAAGTTCAATAGTCCGAAGGCCCACTAGTTAGAAGGTTCATTAGTCCGAAGGCCCACTAGTTCGAAGATTCACTAGTTTTAATCCTAATACCGATATATTGTCCGTAAATTAAAGTGTTTACACTGTAAGTCTCATTGCAGGCCCGTAGTATTCGGGGGGGGGGGGGCTGCCCCCCCCCCCCATTTTCTCTCAAGATTACCTTTACTATGGGAAAAGGAAGCCCCCGCCATTTCACGACAGTGTAGTGTTATTAGGAAAATAATCCCCCCCCCAAAAAAACCCAGGATTTTCGAATTTGGACAACTTTTAATTTTCGGGCCTGTTAACTTTTAAGGCAGGTAAGTAAAGATTTTTTTTCAGGTTGCCCCCCCCCCTGACTTTCAAAAACGATGCTACGTGCCTGCTTTGCAATTTTTTCTATTTTGTACCTTAACAGGTTACTACTAAGGTTCCTTTGAGGTTCTTGAAATTCAGGCTACAAAATACTGCGACAAAAATTTATTAATAAAAATTGAAACTTCAATCCTATTTTCTGCATATTCCCATGTTCCAATTTCTTTTTTCTGTGCCATTGATCGACTATGGTGGCCTTGTGGTAAGAAACGTGCTCCACTCAGCTGTAGGTGCGTATGTGGACAAGACCCCCCCTCTTCCCGGAAAAACACCCCAGGCCCATAGATACTTTTGTTCATCTTATTTCCTTAATTCATTCATATCTAAATCCATATGCAAACCAAAATATATATATATAACGTAGAATTTAGATTTTCAATAAAAAAAAAAATCATACCCAGGGTTTTATAACTTCTCTTTTTATATTGTCAAATACTGAATGTTTACCTATCTTACGGAAGAATGGCAATATCTTCAAAAAGTCAACAAATCATTATACCCCCGCAAACGAAGTTTAGGGGGGTATATTGGAATCACCATGTCCGTCTGTCTGTCCATGTGTCTGTAGACAAGATTTTGTCCGGACCATTTCTTAGAAACTGTTGGATGGATTTGTCTGAAAATGTATACACTTATTATTCAGCATATAAAGGTGTGCACCTGGGATTTTCATCATGATTGGATTATTTTTCCGCATTTTACAGGCATTTTTTCTTTTGTGATTTTGTTTGGCTCATAACTAGAAAAGTATTAGACTTACAATCATCAAACTTGGATAATTTATGCATTTTGGGTAGACGATGTGTCCTGACCTATTTCAAGGTCACTGTGACCTTTAATTTAAGTGATTTATTAAAAAAAAACTAATTCTTAAAAATTTTTAATTTCATTATTCTAAAAAATGTAAAAGTATAGTTGTACCATTATTAAAAAATGCTAAATTAAGTAAAAACTTAGTTTTTAACATATACTTTACAGCAAATTTTACAATCACTACTACAGTATATTTCATATGGTTTTTTCTATACTCGCAACAGAGCCAAACTCTATGGAGGATAACACAGATAAAGATAATGTATTTAACTTTACGGCTGCTGAGGAATCACCACTGCCTCCAGAAAGCTCTCTACCGATTATCAATAATACAAAACTATAGTACTGTTACATCCAATAGTCCACTCAGGTTTTATTAGGGAATGGAATGATAGAGCTCTAAATATATATTGAAGTCTAGGCTATCAAACTTTAACCAAGACATGAGAGCTTCATAATAGTAGGTAGAACTAACTGCCATTTTGAACATGTATTGGGGTGGATCCAAAAAAAAAAAATTACGTATTGAAAATTAACTTAAAAAATTTTTGACAACCGAAACAGAAACAAGAGGAGGTAAATGTTTAATGAAAATACCTATTTCTTCACAAGTGACCAAGGGGACATTTAGCACACCTGAGCACTGAAAAAGGCCAAAATCATTTGTAAATATAAAATGCATAATAAGTGGTCCCGACCTGCACCCTCAATAGGGATGGGGTAATAATTCGAACTAATTTGAATCTACACTGTCTAACAATGATTCAACATGGGTTTCATTTTTCCTGACCCACTAATTCTTTAGATTTTTATCAATGATGCTAGTATTATTTCGCTATTTTGTAACAGAGGGTGTTACCGTTTAGTTTTTTAAATTTGAAATCCCCGAACACAAGAAAAAACAGTGCTAAGTTTAGTTGAATTGATCTCAGACGAGAGAGAGAGAGAGAGAGAGAGAGAGAGAGAGAGAGAGATGTGTATTCGAGGGTGTCGACTCCAACTTTTATCATATCAAATTATCAATGTACTTTAATATTATCAGATCTCTATATGAATGATTCTTTGAAATTTCAATTAATTTAACTAAACAAAGTTATTTTTAACATAAAGGTTATCATTGAGGAAAAACACCGTCAGAGTCCACCAAGACTTTTAGTATCCATGGCATGATCCTGGTGGACATTCCAAAATATGCCGGAGAGTGGCCGCAGCTCTGTGAGGTGCAGAATATCAGTAACACTGATGTTACTGTACTTTGGTACAAAGGGTCAAAAACAACCGCATGGACACCCTGTACAAGGAGGATTAAAGGTTCGCTGGGGGAGGACGGAACCATGGACAGACACAATTTCATCTCATCAGATTTGG